CTTCTCTCGATGAAAGCAAATATTAACATGGCGACATGGAATGTCGCAACAATGTTTGAAGCTGGTTGGCTGCCTGGCTGGCAAGGCTGCCCAGATTGCAAAGGACATGAGGAGGTATAGCATTGAAGTGTTAGGCTAGGAATCTGCGAAAGCAGATGGGATGTGAGTGGACTCTCAAAACTCTTAACTGGGGAGTTAATAATCTACTCAGATATTATCACACAGACGACAACCACGAGCGAGCGAGCACACTAAGATTTCGAGTGGTTGCCATGATATCTCAAATAGCATCGAAGGCTCTCTCTCTCATGCAGTGGAAACCAATCTCCTCATGCAGGATCAGCATCATGACACCAAGATGGATTGAACTCAAAAGGAAGGAAAGTCGCAATCATACACTGCTACGCTACACTGTGCATCTACAAGTAATACAGATCAAGAGAAGGAGGAGGAATTCTACAGACAACTGCAATCAGTACTGGACAAGACCACTAACCAGTTGGCGACATCAAAATTCTAATGTGTGGGGTGACATGAATGCCAAACTGGAGTGGACAACACAGGAAGAGAACTCATCATGGGTGGAGAGGCACTCGGTGAAATGAAGGAGAGTGGAGAACTGTTTGCAGACTTCTGTGCATTCAACGATTTGGTGACAGGAGGCACTGTCGACAAACACAAGGATATTCACAAGGCAGCGACATGGATTTGATTTCACCAGACACCAGGACACACTACACTAAAAATCAGATCGACTTCATCTCAATGTGAAGAAAGTGGAGACGCAGCCTACTGGACACAAGGCAATATCCCCGAGGAGACCTGCGTGGGAGAACACTGGAACTGTGTGAAAGAGACGTGGAAGGAAACCTGCATAACCGTGTTAGGGGGGAGAAGAAGTGAGGCGAGATAAGGAATGGATCTCCACTGACACATGGAATCCGATACACAGTAGGGAGAGGAAGATGGTGATGGTGAAGCAGAAGATGAACCAGTGCAGTGCACACATGAACAACGTAAAGAGGAACTGAACACAACCTATAAAACACTACACTGGACAAAGAAGTGAAGAAGAGTGCGCGGAAAGACAAGAGACACTTCTACGACACATTGGCAAGTGAAGCTGCTGGTAGGCTGCTGCTAGGAGAGACAAAGACCTGACAACATTGTATCAAATGACCAGGTCACTCACTATGTGGTAGGGAAGAGATCAACTCAGATGAAACCAATGAGAGATAGTGAAGGAAAGCTAGTCACGAAAGAGGAGAAATAAATGAGACAATGGGCTGACCACTTCAGAAGACTCTTGAATCAACCACCACCATCACCACCACCACTACCTGCAAGTTGTCCAGAAATACCACCGGCAACTGCAGAACTGCCAGTGAACACAAGCCCTCTGACAAAAGTCGAAGTCCTGAACGCCATAAAGTCGGTGAAATGCAGGAAAGCAGCAGGACCAGATGGAATTCCACCACAAGCACTGAAAACAGACTCAGAGACAACAGCGGCGGACATGCTCACACCACACCACTACTGAACGAGGTTTGTAAGGAAGGAAGGAAGGAAGGAAGGAAGGAAGGCAAGGTACCTGGCCATTGATTGGAAGAAGGACTACCTCGTCAAACTCTAAAGAGGGGTGGCCCAAGTCTTTGCAAGAACTGGCGTCGAATCATGCTCCATCCCTGTCCACTCAAAGCAAGCAAAATATTAAACCACATCATCCTGGAGTGACTAAAAATGCTCTGGGTTCAAAATTACGACTGGAACAGGCTGGCTGGCTGGCTGGCTTCAGGAAGGACAAATCATGTTTGGACCAATTGAAACACTACGCAACGATACGCATCATCACAGAACAGAGCATAGAATGACAGTTGACTGGATCTTCACCTCAACTTCATCGATTTTGAAAAGGCCTTCGACAGCGTCGACCGAGAAGCAATTTGACAGGGAGGTGCTTCAGCACTACGGTCTTAGTGTCACAACCTTTATCAACCTCATGATGATGCTACATGCCAAGTGATTCACAATGGAAAGCTCACTGATGCCTTTGAAGTGAAGACAGGGGGACAGGAGTAGGACAAGGCTCCCGTCTACTACGCGAATACCTGGTCCGAAATTTTCTATTCTCCCTATTCCATAGTGACATCTTCGGCCTCAGTTCAGTTTCCACTACTTTTGTGTGCACCTCCGTCGTCTTTCTCATAAGCTTATCTATAAACAGTAGGTTTCAGATACCTCTTCCATTAACTTTTGTAGTAAGTAATATGAACTCATTCACATGTATCATGGTCCATGTACTTCTGCGTAGTATTTCTGTGCTCCTGTCCCGAATTTCGTCTGCTGCCCGCTTATGTTATTCATTTTTCAGGTTTGCCCAACCAGTCCTTTATGCATATGGAATCCTAGTAGTCTAATTTGTCAGCGCGCATTGTACCATCTAAACCTTATGACGAACGCATACAGCCCAAAGTCACGGTTGCACTACCCGCCCTGCCCTCAAGAATATTGGAAGATTCAAACGATGGCCGGATAATTCCTACTTTCGAACTGAGCTTGCCTCAGTATGATGGGCAATCATGCTGGTGCTTATCTGTTTCATTCTTTGCTGTCTGAGAACCGTTAACTCTGCACGCATCTTCTACGTACCGGAAAGAACGGTGTCTGTAGCATAGCATGATATTGCACACAACAGTCGGTTCACATTGTCAAAATGATCAAACCTGTAAACTAGTTCGTTTTCATATGACTTATGTTGTATGAAATACATTATTATTATTATTATTATTATTATTATTATTATTATTATTATTATTACCATCACAGGTGATCTTTCTGCGAGGGGCTTTGAGAAGGTGGGCATACGCTGGCTGAACCGCTGAGGATTTGGGTTTCGCCTATCGTGATTTGTCTCTACTGTCTTGTGGCACAATCTCGAAGATCTACAGGCTAAGACCAACAAGTTAACAGAACATACAGCGAGGACAGGACTTCAAGTGGACGTATCGGGGACACAGGTGATGATGACACCCAACCTACAACAACATCAACATTAAGTATCAATCACCATCAACGGGAGAAACCTAAAGGAAGTAGCCTCCTTCACCTACTACCTAGGCAGGGCAGCATCCTTTCAACTACAGGTGGTGATGCAGTTGAGGACGTCAAAGCCAGGATCGGAAATACAGAAAGACAGGCCTTCCCTCACTAATCTGAAACTACACTGAAACTGCACTCAGCATAAAGTGTGAACAAGATCCATACTTTCAATACTAATGTCGGTCAAGTCAGTGCTTCTATATGGTTCAGAAACTTGGTGTTTCACGAGAAGCACTTCCAACAAACTAGACATTCGTCAACAGCTGCCGTCTACGCCCACTCGATACTGACACTAAAAATCAGATGTCCGAAAAGAATAAGGAGCAAGGAACTCTGAGAACGAACCAACCAAGAACCTATCCCTCAACAAATATGTAGAAGGATATGGAGATGGATTGAGAACACACTGGCCTTAGTTTGCACCAATTTGTGCTCCAGTAGGGTGATGGTAAGAAACAACGCAAAATCAAGGGTTGATCTATATTGGACACCTTGCTTCTTCTGCAATACTATGCCATGTGAATCATGACTTTTCCACCAAGTCGGGGATAAAAGTAACCAATCGATTATCAGTGCAACTGTACCGCTGATTCTTCTATATTTGGGTGAAGTCTGTCATTTAAAGGGAAGCAAGGTATCCTAATGGATTATAGTGATCCCGGAAATTCTGCTCCTGATATTGATTTCCGACAACTGCCAGATTTTCTAAGCTTTCGTGGAATATTGTTTCTAACATCTTACAGACTACAATAAACTGACCCGCAACTCTGAAAAATTTAGGGCGGTTCATCTATCATATAATGAGTTTTACAAGTGGAAACTGAGTAGGATAAAGCTGCAGGTGTTTTTGGTGGATATCAGTAGCACCCCACCTTCAAAAGCTCTGTTGCACTTGCATTCGAGACAGTGGCACTTGTTCAGCTTGTGCATTCTCTTCATACCTATTCTGCTAGGATGTTTCATTATATGAACATGCACCACTTATATATTCTAGTGACAATGGGCGGGGATTGAGATTGCCTTCCATGAAGACATGTAGTTTATATAAAAACTTATTCATGCCTGTAGAATTGGTGTGTGCCTGCACACTCAAGAAAAAAGCTAAATAGGGCTGATGAGGATAAACTAGATAGTCTTTGGGTGAGGGACATGCATACCATGAAGCCTGCCATCAAGCTGAGGCTTACAAAGTAGTTGGCTGGTTGGGGTGGAGACTGAGGTACTGTGCGCACTAATATTTACTGGGAAATTATAAATTTATCTGATAGCATGCGTTTGCCTGAACATGTAAGTTAAAACGATCAAAGCTTCAACAAATTTATAACGTCGGTCAACAATAGGTCCTCGATTCTAGAGACTTATTCACTGCTACGCTCTAAAAGATATACGTGTCCTTCCTTGTGGGTTTATGCAGTAATTAAATTTCCTAATTGTAGGGAAGCATAGTACCAGACACGAGCACTCTGTGTCCGTATTACCTACGGAAGTATTGATTTGCATAACTTTTTTTCTCTGAATGTATCGTAGTCATGAAGGGCAGTGGCTAGCAGTGGAATCCAGGATGCGCAGTCAGTTGAAGAAAATGTGGTTGAATACATCTACCATGAAACTGAAATTTGCCTGGAGAGGCTTCAGTAACCCTAACTTACAACATAGCAGTTTCTTTCACAGACATCTAATTCGGCGTAGAGGGATACATAGATTATCCCCAAGTACTTCTGTCACGGGCTATCTGGTCTAGTTTTCTTATTCAGAAAAACCATAATTATCCAAGGAGTTTCCAAATGCCAATCATTTCGAGTTACTATGGTATAAATTTTATCTTTTGTTAGTTTGACTACTTCACATCGCAGGACTTTTCGGAGCGCTACTTGATATGCTTTCGTTTGTTCGATCGTTGGATGGTTAGTGGTGATGCTTCTCTATTGAAACGTGGTATGTGTCTTCGCCCATCTTACTGTTAATGCATTCTACTTTGCTATTTTCAATCGCATGTGCTGTTGTGTTAATTTACTGTGTATCTGAGAGGGGCAAATCATTTGAATAATACATGTAGCAGGTGACTTTTGAATGCGGTTACCTGATGATTTTAGTCACTGAATGACTGCCTCAATCCATGACGTTATGTTTTTGGATCTAGTTATGGTTCTGACCTTGATTACTGAAGAAGGTCCCCTTTTCTGCAACCCTGTTTCTTACAAATGTGTAACTAACGTGGCATCTCGAGACTTCTGAGTTATATGTATTCTGTGTTTCAAATGTAATCCTCTTTACGTATTAGTGGGTAGTGATCTCTTTGTGATGATCATTAACTTGTCCCGGGTCATCTTGCAGCAGCATTTCATCCATATTGGTTTAACAAATCGTTGTGTAGAAGAAATTGCTTCGGATTATTCGTTGCTTGGTTCGACCCATTGAAACAAACATGCATTCGACAGGAGCTCAAAATTGGGGATTACTATGGGACTAAATTGATGTCTTATGGTTGTGTGTTTGCTAGCTCATCCACACAAGGCTTTATCAGTTTGTCCCTAAAATTGCAATAATCTAGTAGAATTTCACCTAATACGACTTCGCACCACGGAACTAAGAAGCAGTTTCTATACTAGCAGTAAAGATGTAATCAATATGGTGGCTGGAAAATTATCCCTGAAAATGAGGCATATGGAGATGTTGATTGGTTCTGCACCATATGTATGCTGAAAAAACATAACGAAGCACATAATGCCAGCACTTATGGTTCTATAAAATACCAAGTACTTAGTCAGAGGTGATAATAATCAGGTGATTGTGCATTTTGTGTTACCTTAGGCAATTGTTAAGAGGTTTTTCCATTCCCACAAGCTTCTGATTTCACTGACGAGGTTTTAGCGTTAATCATTGGATAAACAATATCTAGCAGAGGGCAGACGAGTTCATATGATAGTTGTCCAGTCTGATACTTAAACCAGTGACCTGCTGTTTTGAATACTCGTGTCAAACAAGACTGATATATATTTCTGGCTTACTTCCAAGTGACCAGCTGTTTTGTTTTACCTGGTTTAGTAGCTGCAATATGGCTTATTAATGTTCACCCTGTAACCGAACGTTTTTTCATATGTAGAAGTCGGTAGATGGTGAATTAGGTGTATGGTTTGACGTTAATTTTAACACATGTATTGGAAATCGTTCATCTCCGAAGTTTCGTACTTCTTGCTACCCGTCGTATGTTCTCTTTTCGATTTCATTGTTCAACTGTCCCAATATCGCTTTCATTTTTGTTTCACATAGCACGATGAAAAACTAACGCAAACAGACAGGACCAATATAGGAACAAGCATTACTGCGAATTAGTCCAAGTTGCCACACACCATATCAGACCGTCAACTGAGAATGTACCAAGATGAAAGATTAAGTTTGGAAAAAAGCAGTCAAAAGTGGTAAAAGTCGTGATAAGATAACAAGGGAGAATAAAAAAAATACTGAATTCGGTATGACGCTTGAGATGACGATAATATGTTGACACATCTTTCCCACCAAGATCGATTCTGAACCATGTCTTCTGGAGTTTTCAAACACTAGTTCCCCTGTTCAGACCAACAATCGAAGGTTTTATGCACTGATACTGTTTTAGTCTGGCCGCTCTGTAACTTCACCCTGAACCTGCTTCATCTAACAATGTGTGACGGGGTAGACTGCGACTAAGTATATGTAACAACCATCTAAGACGATAAAAGTTCACAAACTTACCAGCCAACTTCCCTCTCCTCCCTGAAACTCTACACCTGGCTTGTGCATAGTTGATGTGGTGACACTACGGCACATGGCCTACGCTACGAAGGCAATGGCGGTCAAACAGCTGAAGCCTTCTCATGTCTTCTTCCCTTAATGGGCCTCTTTCACAGCCAAATAGTCAAACAGGGTGGTCTACAGAGCAGTAAGCTCAACAATTAGTGGGCACTCACATATCACGGCGATGCTGCAGGTGGCGATAGCGACTACCTTGACGTGGTGGTCGGGATCGGATATTACAATGACCCAACGAGCTATGCTGGTGGAACACTTGTTCCCTCGAGGTCCTACCATACCAGAAAGGTCTGTTGGATAGTGGTTAGACGAAAAGCAGTTACCATTATGGTGTAAATTACTATATTATGAGGAAAGTCTGAGGCCGAAGTCGTACTGCTGCTAACTGGATGGGGTGTGACAGCAGTAAGGTGTTTCCCCTGAATGACCAGCAGTGCCATGCTGATGCTGCCTTTTCAGTGGAAGGGGGGGGGGTTAGAAAAGATCGCCCCAAAAATACACTCTACCATGCCCCACAGTCTGCCTGGTTGGCGGTGTTGGTTCATTTGTCGTTTCTTTTCAACCATTCGGCCCCAAAAATACAAAAGTTCAAAATAATCATACACAAAAGGCTATGCGACAGGCCTCAAAAAGATGTTCGATTGGCTCTGTGGTCACACAAATCTCTTTCAGGTACCTTAAGAAGAAATAGCCTTCCACGGTGTGGCAGCCGCGAAGTGTCACCCGTCCTCACAACTCTGTCAGCATTCAAGTTTCTTCTGACTGCTATCCAACTATTTCATCATTACCTTATAGTCTTCCTTCACGTCTCTCAATTAACAGTACTAAATCACCTTTAATTTCTCCTAGTTCTGCAGGCTTCCACAACGATCTGAGTCCACAGAACAGCATCCTTGGTCTCCCTAAACCACACTCCAAATTACACATTGGAGCCTTCAATGTCCGCACCCTCCGTCAAATTGGTCAACAGGCTTCGTTAGCAAAGACTCTAGCAACTCGGGGCATAGATGTGTGCTGTGTTTGTGAGACACGCATACAGGTTATTCACCTGACCTCTCCTGACCAATCTAGTGAATCCCCAAAATTCACCCTTCGAGTTTCTGGAGATCCGATAGCTAGCTCTCGTGGTCTTGCAGGTGTAGGCATAGCACTAAGCACTAGGGCAGAAAGCTGACTACTAGACTGGATCCCAGTTGACAGTTGCCTCTGCGCTATCCGACTGAACGGCACAGTGAGAAGTAAAAGGGAGTAGTGAAACTCGCCGTTATCTGTTCGTAATGTCTGCTTACGCACCGACGGACTGTAGTTGGGATGAAGTGAAGGACGAGTTCTATCGAAAACTGTCTAGCCTCCTCTCGAAAGCCAAACGTTCGGACGTGGTGGCTGTTGCAGGTGACTTCAATGCACAGGTGGGTGGACTGAGTGAGGCAGAAGTGCACTTAGGTGGCACTTTCGGAGTCCTGGCTGAACGAACAGAAAACGGTGATCGCCTACTACAGCTGTGCTCAGATAACCGCCTATTTTTAGCTAGCACAAATTCCAGACATAAAGAAAGACACTGTCTGACGTGGCGTTTACTGAGGTCAACTCAGCGATGGACACAGATAGACCACATTGGTATTAGTCACCGCTAGAGAGGATCGGTGAAAGACTGCCGCTCCTTCTGGAGTACGTGTTTGGATAGAGACCACGCGTTGGTCCGAGCTCGTATATGCCTGTGTCTCAATGGACGTAGGGAAAAACAAAACCATTACGAGTGCTGCTGGATGACGAAAACACGAAAGCCGCTTTCAGTGAGAAATTGGCTAGGCAGTTATCGGAAGAGAACACTCTCATTGATCCAGAAGAAGCTTGGTGCCATCTCCAGTCTGGTGTAAAAGCAGCGTTGAAAACCGTTACTGACTGTCAAATAGTGGTTGAAAAGAGCCAGTGATATCAGCAGCTTCTTTGGAATCAATGAATGCACGTGAACACATCCCTGCAGGCTGTGAGTACAATGAGGAGTGAACGCAACTCAAATGTAGACTAACAAAAGGTCTACTCAGTGGCTGCGATCAGTGGTTGACAGTGAAGGCTAAAGAGATGAGAAATGCAATGACGATAGTTACCAGCAGACAGTTATTTAAACACGTAAGGAAACAGGCAGAAAAAACGATGGTTAGTTAGGCTGTAGTGGAGAAGGATGAGTCTGCGATTCACTCACAGGGAGGGCGACTGGAACGATGGGCAGAACACTTCGAGAAGCAGTTTAACTGACCTCCAGCCACCATTGTGTTGCCCGCTATCCAGTCGGATCCTGAATGTAACATTGAGATAGGTCCCTCAAGACTAGGAGAAGTCGAGAAAGCGGTAGGTAACCTGAAACGCAGAGGGACGGCAGGCGTAGACGGATTAACTCCTGAGGTACACAAAGATGGTAGTAGAGTGCTCTTAGTTGTGTTAATGCAGGTGTTAACCAGTATATGAGAATCAAATACTGTCCACTCTGACTGGTTTAAATCACTGATTATCCCAGTCTTTAAGAAAGGTGAGAAGTCCTCTTGTGATAACCACAGAGGAATCAGCCTGACGAACAGTGTCTAAGATTCTGAGTTCTATAATTCTTCGACGCCTGAGTGGAGCGTGGGAACAGCAAGCCCGAGAAAACCAGGCAGGCTTTAGACCTGGCCGTGTGTGTATCAACCAAATATTCACACTGTGCCAGGTTTCGGAACACTGACGCCTGACGATAGCTGTATTTCTCGACGTGAAGGTGGTGGTTTTCGACCCCGTTGATGGAGAAATCTTATGGCAATGTCTCTCACGGAAATGCGTGCAAAGTAAGTGCATCACCTTATCGAAGTTTCTCTACTCGAACACTTGTGGTGAGATGCCCAGGGAGCTGTGCTCATCGAATAGCGTCCGTCAGGGGTGCTCACTCCCCCCCATTCTTATTCACTTTTATCATAGATATTCTTATGGGGGTCTCCCTCTCGTCACCTGACTACACACAGGTTTACCTAATCGCAGGAGAACTTTCCATAGACCCAGAATATGCAGATGACATAGTTCTGTTGGGTGAAGACGCTGACAAGGTGCAGAGTCTTCGAAACACTTTGAGTGACAATTTGTGAATGTTTAGGATGCATTTCTCATCACCAAATGCAAAT